TCTTCCACAAGGCTGCTTGGCCCAGGAGCCCCGGCCTCCACGCTGGCTCACCATCACTCTCGTTGATCTTGCCAAAGCCCGTGATGGAACATGTCCTCCCGGGAAGGAACTTCTGGCCAGACATGGGGAGACAGGCGGGGCGGACCTGGGCTGGAGCAGAGGGAGAAGTCGGTCCCCGGCCCCAGCAACAGGGGCCGGGGTGTGTGGGGGGGTGAGGGGCCCTGTGGCCAGCCGGGAGCATCACCTGAGAGGGTGAGGGGCCTCGACAGCTTCATCAGGGCGATGTCGTAGTCGTCGTGGTCATCGCTGTAGTTGGAGTTGATGATGACGTGGGAGACCGGGATGCCCTCGGCCAGGTGGCTGAGGTCAGAGGCCCCCGCGAACACCTTCCATTCGTCCAGGATCTTCTCACTGTTCCTAAGGTGCCCCGGAGACGGAGCAGAGGAAGGCCCAACAGTTGTTGCCAGCCTGCCTTGCTTTGCCTGAGGGTTCTCCTCCTTGGGCACGGGGGCAGGGGGCGGGCGGAGGTAGAAACCAGCTGCCACCCTTTGGCTCACACCTGGGGTCCCAGTCGGCCAACCGGGAGTGCGTCCTGTCAGCCCAGCAGCAAAGAGGAGCCAGCTCAGACACAGGACGTGCTGCCTGTTGTGATAAGGAGGGTCCCGGCTTTGTAATGTCTGCGGCGTTTAGTGGGTCATGCTGCTGCTAATGCTTCGCTTCAGGTCTGTTTCATATTTCTGCAACCCAGATTCTGTGGCACTGATTGCAGGATGTCCCACCCTGCAGCCTGTATCGACTGACACTGTGTGATCCACCTCCCGTCTCAGTGAGAGGCCGAGCATCAATGATGCAAAGAAATAAACACGCACTCTGCAGGTATTGTGCCGGGAGGGCCTCTGCTTCTCTGCTCAACTGATAAATAGACCCGAAGCAAACTGGGGGGGGGGCTCGTGCATGGGGGAGTCAAGAGGGGCCTCCGTGGGCAAAGCTCTGCAGGCAGGCAACAGGCGGAGCCAGGCGGGGCAGCAGGTTGCTCCAGCAGGGGGCCGTCAGGAACGGTGGGGCAGGCAGTGGGCACAACACGGCCGCATCCCGGCCTCAGGGCCTCGGTCTCCCGCTCCTTCATGGAGTCTCCCTCTGCACTCGCGGGGTGCCCCTCGGCTGAACACCCAGGAGGGGAGCCTCTCCCCCAGCCTCGCTAGCCCTCCTCCAGCCCAGGCCCCCTCCCCACGGCAGGCAGAGGCACCCCCACTCACATGAAGAAGCAGTGGGCAGCCGTGAGCACCCACAGGGGGTCGATGATGGTGCCTCCACAGATGTGGGTCGATCCATACTGGAGGCTCACTTGCCAGGGCCACTTGCCGGCTGATGTTTCGGTGCCTCCGACGATGCGGCCAGACATCCGTTGCCCACAGCCTGTAGGAGAGAAGGGTGCCAGAGAGGTGTGGATGATTTATTGATGTGGCCTTAGAGGCCACAACACCTCAACAAAATCTCTACACCATACAATGAATTCAGAACAGGATTAAAACCATCCATCATGGCAAAATGAATTTTTCAAATTTACCATTTACATGTATAAGGTTAATAAGACACATATGCAAAGTCCTAAAATACAAAACATATAATTTAGCTGAGATTACAATAGATGGACCCAGGGTTAATTTCTTCCTTATGCTTTTAGAGAGAAAAATAAAAAATAGCCACTTTATGAGTATCCTCTGGGATAACATTGGCTAGCAAAAAGTTTAAATATTCCTCTGCCGAGCCGGATAAATTAATAAGAAATGGGCACAACAGTTTCTTGCAAATGGACTCATACTAAGGACAGTATAGCATATAGTGGATAATGTCTTCCGCCCAGGGGTCATTTCGTAGAAAAAGAGCTAGGGGAACTCATTAGCATAACTCATTCGCATATGCCACACCCCCTGACATCAGGGGCCCGGCGGTGGACCTGCAAGGCCGGCGGAAGTGCGAGGAAGCCCCGCCAAGGCCCTCCCTGGCCCCAGGCAGGCAGGGGTGGGGAGAGGAGGGGAGGAAGCAACTTACCCTCCCTCTTCTCCTGCCTCCTCCTGGCTGAATGAGGGCTGGAAGCGGGGCGGCCAGAAGCAGGGGGCGGGGCTTCATCGTGTGCCCCACCCCCCTGCACCTCACCCGGGGGAACTGTGTTCCCCCGCGTTCCCCCCCAAAATGACCTCTGCTTCCGCCTGATTTAGGTTGCAGGAACAGCAATGCTGATCCACGGGTAATTTATGGAATTGATCCTGAAGATATGCCATCAGCAGGGTTTGAAAACAAGCCCGAGTAAATGCCTTGCTCAAGGGGGCATTAGAAAGGTCAGCCAGATATCGTGAGAAAAAATTGTTTTTCTTGAATGGAGGGTACCAAAAAGAGAATCTAGATTGGAAGACCCGACTAGCATCTTGTAAGTCCTCTTTACCAAAAATCCAGTCTCGCATTTTACCTGAACCCCAGCACTTTCCTTCCTCTAAAGGGGGCAAGGAGTATAAGTGCAAAATGGGGGAGAATAATTTGGGCCACTGGTTCACCTCCTTGTAGTACTGGAAACAGTATTTTACAAGATGGACATCTGGAATATTAACTAGCTTCTTATAATATTTTAATAACTTCAAATGTATTCTTGCTGTAACAGATGGTAGGCCCACTTCTAGTCTTAAGTGTGGTGCAGGGGTTCCCTGTGGAAGACCTAACATTTTCCTTAAAAAGAAATTTTGAATGCATTCTAAGATAATATTTTCTCATTCCACCCCAGATTTCCACCCCGTATAAAAGCTGGGCAATAACCTTGTCCCGGAAGACCTTTAAAGCTGGTGGATTTAATTGACTGCCTTTAGAGTAGAAAATTTTTAAAATAGCTCCCATGGCATGTCACAAAGTTAGTAAAGTAGCATCAAGATGGGCCTGCCAAGACGGTGATGCCTAAATAATTAAAAGAAGGGCACTGTTCTATTCCGTGAGCACTGACAGACCATCTCTATGCTTAGGGCTTTTTTTAACCAAATACTGCAATCTTGGTTTTATTGTACTTAATTCTTAGATCCACTTGTTCACAATAATCCGCAAATCTCATCCTTCTAAGCCCTAACTGAGTAAATGAAATGATGGCCACGTCATCTGCATATAAGAGTTCAGAAATTTTCCAGACAGCCAGAGAGGGAGAAAAAACAAAACAAAATCATTAATGTAAAAATTAAACAGGAAAGGGGCCAGGAGGTATCCCTGCCTAACGCCTCTTCTCTGGAGGGGAATAGGGTCCGTAAGGGAACCATAAGCCTCAACTCGTATCCTAACTGAAAGGTTAGAATGTAATTCCTTCAAAATCCTGAGGAGTCGTCTATCGATATTTGTACTGGCTAATCTCCAATTAGTCCAAAGTCTAGTATGCTCGATAGAATCGAAATCTGAAGAAAGATCTATGAAAGCAGCATAGAGATGGCTTCCGATGTTGTTGGGATATTTTTTAATCAAAGCCTTAAGGGTCAGACAGTGATCAATGGTGCTGTGGCCTTTACGGAAGCCAGCCTGTTTAGGGTGAAAAGGATTAACTGAATCTGCCCAATCTACCAGTTTGACCAAGAGATAACGGGTGTAAAGTTTTAGAGAGAAATCCAGTAAACTAATAGGCAAAAAAAAGTTTGCCAGAACTTGTAAATGGGAATTATAATGCCTTGTAAAATTGGGAGGTATAAAACAGGTGTTATTAATTTCCGAAAAGAGTCTAGCTAAAATTGGACTCCACCACTGTGGGTCTAGCTTGAACACTTCAGGAGTCACCAGGTCTTCCCCAGGAGCTTTCCCTAAGGGGAGGGATTCAATCGACTGCTTGCATTCTTTGACTGAAATTGGGTCCCATATTGGGAAGAGCCTCCAAACCTGTAAGAGGGTAATCAGCAGTTGGTTCATCTTGAGTGTCATTGTAAAGAACAGAAAAATGACAAAACGACTGGTCAGAGGAAATAAAAGTGTCAGAATTGGTGCTATGTACCTGAATACCTAAACTTATTAGTTCCCAAAACCTCTTCTCATTTTTTGTAAGATAGAAAGGCTCAATTCTTCCGATTGGCATTTACTATGGGCAAGTTTTTTCTCCTTCAAAAAATACTTATAATAGGATTGAAATTGAGACAAAAGCTCAATTGCAATTCCAGATCTTGCTCATCTAGTACTATTTTGTAATCTACGTAAAAGACATCTCATATCACCACAGTCTTTATCAAACCAGGACTTTCTATTTTGGCCCAGGCTGGATTTGCCATCCGTAGTCAAATAATAAGGATTTAATAAAGAAATAACCTGTGCGAAAATGTCAAAAATATTTTGGCCAACAGCTCTTCTGGCTATGGCCGCGTGACCGGTGACCGACTCTCGGGAAGCTCCTGGAGCCGGATCGCCCACACGCAGTCTGGGGGGGGGGGTCCCGCGCAAGCAGAGATCCTAAGGAGCCTTGGTGAAAAGGCTCCGAACTAGGGGGCGCGACCGGGAGACTGGGAGAAGCCTCTTACCGGCACGAAGGCCGGGAATTGAGGCTCCCCGTTCTGTTCTCCCTTTGCCCCAAACGGCCCCTGCTGCGATGTGCCCCGTCAAGGGGACTAGCACAGCCACCGGAACATCGGAGTGATGAAGCGATAAAGTTAAAGATTGAAGAAAAGCATATTCGACTAACTGTGAGTTGGAGATCAACTTAAGAGTAGCAGCTTGAGCGCGATTCGCCCCCGCGGGAAACCAAAAGGGAGGAGGGAGGATTCCCCCCCCACCATAGAAAAGAGACTTTTGAAAGCAGAGAGGGGGGCGAAGCGAAGATTTGTATAAACGCATTACCTTTTGGTAGAGAGTTGAGAGCAGAGACTAGGGAGCCATCCCTGGGCAACGCAGCACGAACTTCTAAAGTATAAACAAAGTTTGAAAATGGCGATGCAGAAAAAGGTTTTGGAGAGACAGACAAAGAAAGCAGGAGGAACTTCCTGTCCGAGTCCCTCCCCTGCTGGGACTGCTGTCAATCAACAAGAAAGTGAACTTGCACACCATCTGCTGGAGGAACTGCAGAAAATCAATCAGAAGCTGGATAACATGGAGAGTGCTTTTAGTACTCAACAGAAAAAAATGACGGAGACTGCCAACAAGGTAGATGATATTGCAAAGAAGTGTCTGGCGTCAACGGAAGAAATACAGAAAGTTAAGAAGAAAGTTGTTAAAGTGGAAAAACATCAAATGAAGCAGGACAATAAATTATTACTGCTTCAAATGGAAAAGTCGAACTTGACTCTTCGATTTCAAGGACTGAAGGAAGAAGACCATGAAGACCTCAGAGACACCTTGGCAACGGCGTTGGCACCACTGATCGGCAGCGAAGCGGGAAAAATAAAAGAAGAGATGGATTTGGCCTACAGAGCCTACTCCAACTATACAAAGAAGAATAAGCTGCCGGCAGAAGTGGTAGTTAAATTTACTAAGCAATGTCTCCGGGATCAAATCTTAAAAGCAGTATCAGCAACACCCTTGAAAATTGGAGAACAACCAATCCGAGTTTTGAAAGATGTTCCATTTGAAATCAGAATGAAAAGAAAAGAATACAAAGGATTGACCTTGTTTCTACAAAAGCATCAAATTAGATACAGGTGGTTGACGCGAGAAGGACTGCTCTGTAAATTTAAAGATAAAAGAGAAAGGATTGACTCTATCCTGAAGGCACAAGACTTTTTGAAAAGGCACGCCAATACTGAAGACGAAGCAGAATTCGCCGAGTGGATGTCGGGGATAAGCGAAGAAGACAGCAGCTCGGAAGGAGAGGTGAAAGAAGAAGAAGCTAAAGGAGCAGCTGGAGGTCCAAAGTACAATTTAAGAGGAAAAAAAAGGAAAATATCGCAAAACTTAAGGACTAGTTTGGACAATGCTTTAGAAGAAATACTAATTCCAAAAGGACTTTACTAACATATTAACTGCCCGATTTGGAAGGAATAAGAAGAAACAGATGATTATCCAACCACAGAAGAAGTCTTAAAATTTGACATGGACTTTAACCTTAATACTAACAGATTAATATACTAACACTTAACATCACTCAACACTTTTCTTTGTCCCTCTATGAACCCTCCCTATTTTTCTAAATTATAAAAGTAGAATTTCTCTCCTTTTTAGGAGAGGGAAATAAAATAATTAAATATATATTGGCCAAAAGAGTTTACTAAGTTTTTTAAGTCCAATAGTTGTTGGGAGTTAAGAAGGGTTTTAATTTTATTATCTAAACTGGCATTCCAAGTCACACGGTGTTTACCCCGCTTTGGGCCCACAACAGTATGACGTGAGTTAGATGGTGAATTCAAGAGAGCAGAAAGAGATCTAACTTGAAGCATATGATTACTTTCTGGTCTGTTATGTATATCAAAATACTGTATCCTCGACAATAATGAAGAGGGAAGCAAGGTATGATCAATGGCACCAGCACCATAGGAACTTAAAAAGGTATAATGCCACCCTTTAGAGCTGTCGCATGCTGAACCATGAAGGCTATACGACCCGAATCTACAAGCCAGATTTAAAAGAAGGACACCCCTTTTGTCCAAGGTTACGTCTAAAGAGGACCATGGGAGATCCCAGGGGTCCCCGATATAAATTTGTTCCCTCTTGATAAAATTATTACTGTCTTGGCCTACTCTGGCATTAAAACCACCAGTACAGAAAATATCAACATTTGGGTAGAACGCCTCAGCTTTTGCCAACACACTCTGGAGGGAATCCCAGGTTTGGTTCCGTACCATACTGTGTTTACATAACTGGTGCCAGAGAGAGAGAGAGAGAGAGAGAGGCAGGCAGGCAGAGGGCTTTCCAGAACCCAGAGGGAGGGAGGGGCGGCTGCACAAGGCCCCTCCCTTCACCAGCCCGCCTGGGGCGGCCCGGCCACTCCTGCCTCACTCAGCAAAGCAGCCCCCTCCCTCCTCCTCTTGCTAGAGGCAACTTTTGCACCACACCAGTGGGTGCCGCTGCCTGGGAACAGGAAGGTGTGGAGCATTTTGCAGTGGGCCACGCGTGGGCAATTCCCTGCTCTTCCACTTCAGCACTACAAGCATGCACGTGGCCCTGCCTCGCCGACTTTGTCGTCCCCCTAATGAAGTGTACTTACGGGTGCATCGGAGGGCAACGTACTTTCCAGTGGGGCACTGGGAGCTGCAGAAGAGACCAGAGCAGAGAGTCAGGCACCGTGCGTCAGGGGGGCAGAGCACCCACCCGGGCCCCAGGGGGAAGAGGGGGGAGGCTCACAAAGCTGCTGCCGGAAGCAGAGCGTGGCCCGGGGAAGGCTGGGCAAGCGGGGGGCGGGCATAAGGGGCTTGCCCAGCGGAGCGGGTTCTGTAGGGTCCCATCGGCCGAGAGGGAGGGGAGGCCTGGCCCGTGGCCTCCCAGCAAGCTCCCACAGCAAATGTGGGCCTCCCCGTCCCTCGTCTGAGGCGCTGAGCAGGACACCACGCTGACCCGGGCGGCCTGGGGGACTGCTCCCGGGAACTGGGTGTGCCTTGGGGAGGCGGCAGGCCTTATGGCTGTCCCCCACATTTGCCTGCCCCCACATTGTCTGGGAAAGCTCCGCTCCTTGCTAGATCCGTGGCTGTGGCAGGGAGCCAGAGTCGCCATGTAGTGGTGGACGGAGGGCCCTGGGTCTGAATCCCTAATCGTGCCGCAAAGCTCCCTGGGTGACCTTCAGCCAGCCACTTGCTATCAGTCTAGCCTACCTCACAGGGCTGTCATGAGGAGGTGAACCAGATCTACTTGCTTAGTGCATTGTATGCCCAGGGCCAGCTCGCCCGCTAGGCAAACTAGGCCTTCACCTAGCTGGCTGTTAGGGCGCGGGAGGAGAGGCAGGGGCGGCCGCCAGCATGCCTGGCCAGCGAGGGAGGCAGCGGTGCCGTGCAGCCTGCAGGAGCGCCCTCCATTGAGCAAGGCGACACCACCAGCAGCAGCAGCTGAGAGGAGCGCCAGGGCTGGGAGGAGCTCTGCTGGCTGCAGGAGGAGGACGCACGGCAGCGTGGGCAGGGCGCGGCGCTGTAGCTGGCCAGCGGCCGCCCTCATTCGTCGTTGTCCGTCCACGTCGCCTCCCTCACGCGTGTCTCTGTCTTCTTCTTTCCCTCCCTCCCCCACTTTAGCCGAGTCCAGCCACGCTAGCCTCTGCAGCGGACTCAGAAAGGGAAGCCCGTCCGTCCCCGTCCGTCGCCTGTGCGAGTGGCGCCTGCTTCTGGCGGGAGGATGAGTGGGGGGGGTTGCTAGCCCTGCCCCCTGCCTCCCCCTTCTTCGGTGTCTCCAGGCCCCACCGGGAGGTTGGCATCTGCGCTCGCCTAGAGCGCAGGACAACCTCGGGCCGGCCCTGTGTATGCCAAAGACCTCAGGGTCCAGGGCATGGATCTCCACTCCTTCACTGTATTCTTACAAGAACTCTGCCACTTAGGTTTGGCTGACAGAGAATGGTGGCCCATGGTAATTAATTAATTAATTATCATATGGCATTGTGTGTGGAATAGCCAGGAGATCCCGGAAGGGACTGTTTGGCTGCTGAAGCTGTAGCTCTTTTTTGGCACCACTAGGTGGCGAGCTATGCCTATACTGAGGCAGAGAGTGCCGTGACTTGCCTAAGGTCACCCAGCTGGCTTCCAGAGGGAAACGGAACCTGGCCCTCCAGATTACAGAGTCCACCCCTCTTAACCTCTGCGCCAAACTGGCTCTCTGGCCCAGGGTCACTTAGTGCATTTCATGTGGAGTGGGGACTTGACCTGTCCTACACTCGCTGCAGGCCACCTTGGAGTAACAACGTGATGAGAGAGACCGAGAGAGGCAAGCAGGGGTCCTGCTCCCTCCATGAGCCCCCTCTGCGACCCCAGAAAAGAACTCCCCCCCGTCTTTGCCGGGCTTTGCTTTGTCTGGCGCAGGAAGGGTGGGGGGAGCAGGCCTTGCTTCATCCTCAGCCCCCCTCCCCCGCACAGGGCAGGCCGGCAGGGGGCTGAGGACAGGGGGGAGGGATGTGCCCCCCAAACAAATGCCGGAAGGCTCCCGTCTTGCTCCGTCTGCAGCCAAGGAGGGGCGGGGGCTCGGCAGGACAGCCCCCCCGGAGGACGGCGCCTGGACCCTGCCCGCCCTTTCCCACGCCCGGGCTGCTCCCTGCCCGCCCGAGCCCGGCTACCTGTTGAGACTCTGCTGGAGGGTCTTGTGCAGGCCGGCGACCACGAGGCTCTTCCCCGAGAAGCGCAGGGGCACGTACTCCGTCTGGGAGGTGCTGCAGGTGAAACACAGGAGCCGCCCCCCCCCCCGGTCACCTCGAGATCGGGACAGGCCCGGGGCCCAGGA